GTGGGATGAATGCAGAAAAGAGAAAGATGGAAGCAAAGAGAGAAGCAAGAGGGAAAATGCCAACAAAAGAGAGTGTTTGGGGGAGTAAAAATACTCATGACATACTTGAAAGAAATTATCTTTCTGAAACCCAGAGCTGTGTTCAATGATTATACCCAACAGAGAAAATAAGAAAATATTAGTGCAAATAAAATGTGATGCTTAATGTTAATTGTCAGCCTGTCAAAATCTAGAATCACCTTTGAGAAGGGCCTCTGGGCCTGCCTGTGGAGTATTACCTTAACTATGTTAACTGAGGTAGAAGAATTACCAGCTGTGAGTGGTGTCATCCCCTGGTTGGATCCTGGTTTATATAAAATGAAGAAAGCAAGCTGAAGACTGGCATAGCATGTGTCACTTCCTGATTGTGAACATGATGTGATCATCTACTTCAAGCTCCTATTGCCGTTGGAGCCCAGTTATGATTTCCCTGACACGATCGACTGTATCCTTGAACTGTTAACAAAAAATAAACACTTTCTCCCTTGAGTTCCTTTCTTAAGGCATGGTGATTTGAATGAGAATATCCCCCTGTCTCCCAATTGGCTAGTTCCTCCAATGGGCAGGGCCTGCCACAGAGTGTGGACCATGGGGGTGTAGCTGGGAGCCACCTTGGGAGTGAAGCCTTGAGCCAAGTTGGACAAGCTGCTAGCCATGGGGAAACAGCAAGCCGTGGGACTGACGTGCACGCAATAGTTGAAAGACAGAATGGACCAACTTTTAATGGACCTGGGCCTACCACCGGTCCCAGAGGCGTGAGAGAATTATGGGCATGGCCGGTGGCACGGTCTGATAAGAAGGCTCTGAGGTGCAGTGCGGGGTAGGCACTGGGTACTCATTCCTTTGTAAGTTAATAAATACACATAAAATATATTATATAGTTTGTCTGATCATGCAGGAAACCCAGAGAGAGTTTGGGCCACAGCCCCATAGATAGGCTCCACCTATTTGGACATTTTTTTCCCTGTTGGTGGTGCTGTTTTGGAAGGTTTTAGGTGTGGCCTTGCTGGAGGAAGTGTGTTACTGGGGACAGGCTTTTAGAATTCTTAAGCCCTGCTGGATTTCTAGTCACTCTCTGCTTTCTGTCCCTGCTTGAAGATGAAAGCACCTAGCTTTCTGCTCCTGCTCCAGCCACCACACCATGCGTCCTCACCATGATGGTTTCTAATCCCTCTGGAACCTGGAACCACAAGCTCAAATAAACTCTTCCTTCTATAAGTTCCCTTGCTCACAATGTTTCATCACAGCAATAAGAAATGAAACTAGGACATAAATTGGTACTGAAAAGTGAAACCACTGTGATCAGCCTAGATATGTGATTGTTAGGCCTATAACTATTTTGTGGCTACAGCATGAAAGTATTTGGTACTTTGGGCTATATAGACTTTAACATCTGGAAGAAGAGATTAATGGGTCATTCTACTGGGAACCTGGAAAAAAAGAAATCTGACAGGCATGTGAGGGGTCAAGGCCCAGCTCATTGAGTTGTGGAGGGTAACAAGCAGTCTATCAGGAACTGGGCTACAGATCATTTGTGTGATTGTTTTGACAAGAATCTGACTTCATTCTCCCCCTGTTCTGGAAACCTGGGTGAAGCTGAATTTAAAGAGAACAGACTAATTTGCTTGGCAGAAAAAAATTTCAAGACACAACAAGCAATCAGTTAAGTGCTGATAAAGCAGATGTAATTATTAAAAAGAATAGCACCCCTAAAGAGAAACCTCCTGTATTGCACTGGGACAATAGGAAGAGTGTCTTGAGGGCAAACCATAAAACCTTGGAGGCTCTGTCTTATGATGATCTAAAAGGATGAATGCCCTTGCTGAAAGACTACTCTGCTTTTCAAAAGCAACTGCCTCCAAAGTGTATTCCTTGGTCAATGCACAGGAGCTAATACAGCTGTGGTCTGAGACAGGCAGGATACATCCTGATTTTCCAGCAGAACTTGTAAAGTGTCATGCTCATGGTACTAATTTTATAGATGTGAAAGATGAGAGATTGAAGGGTTCACGGAGTTTTGTTCCACAATTTTGAGACCGGCTGAGGCCACGCAACGTGTCTGTAGAGACAATTATATGACCCTGCGAAGGTGAAGCCTATGTTTCAATGGAGACTCCAGCATGTTAGAGGTGCCAGAACCATGGGATGTCTACTGAGAAAAGCTGCATACATACAGTGCAACTGGCTCAAGAGAGAGATTGTACCAGAGCTGAAGAGGTTAGTGCTGCTTAAAGCATTTTGAGCCCAGCTAAATTTTATCATGCGCTTTTGATGCTGGACATTGAACTTCAGGATTTGATGCTTGCCCTGTTGGATTTTGGTCTTCCTTTGGTCCAATTATTCCTTTCTATGCCCCAATTCTTCCCTTTTGCAATAAGAATGTTTACTCTTCCCTTTTGCAATAAGAATGCTTACTCTGTGCCAGTATATTTTGGAAGTATATAACTTGCTTTTTATTTTATAGGTGGTCACAATTAAGAAACTTTGAACTTTCAGTGCTAAGCATGGGAATGCTGAGGCAGGTGGATCTCTATGAGATTGAGGCCAGCCTGGTCTACATAGCAAGTTTCAAGCCAGTTGGAGCTATAGGGAGACCATACCTACAAAAAAGAAGTTTTGGACTTTTAAAATGTTGGAACTGTTTGTGGATGAGAATTCCACAGTATCACATCCCCTCCCCCAAGGCTGACCATACTTCCAACAAAAAAGTTTTGGACTTTTAAAATGTTGGAACTGTTTGTGGATGAGAATTCCACAGTATCACATCCCCTCCCCCAAGGCTGAGAGGACATTATGGAAGAGGGAGCAAAAACATTGTAAGAGCCAGAAGTCAGGGAATACTATGACAGAACAATATCTTTTGGACATGACAGGCAATTGTACTCAACTCTTAACACCAGGAATAAAAAAGGTCTGCACAAGATCTACCTAATGAATATTCCAGTGTAGGTGGGGGTGCTCATAAGGACCCACTCCTAGTCAATAAGCTAAAGAAGTTGAAAGCTGCTGAGGGAGACAAATTTTCTTCAGGGGTAATGCCCCTGGCAAGTTGCCCATTTTACAGTAAACAGCCCTATACCCATGTGCATGCAGACAACAAATTGGATTAAGTAGGTTATATATAAAGAGGGCATGAAGTTGGGAGGAGGCTGTGGCGGGATTGACCTGGGAGGAGTCTGAGGGAATTATGTGGACTTTCAAAGCTTAACTAAATGTATTTTATGTAATATAGTCCTGAGCCTATGGGGACAAGGAATGAAAGGTGATGGCTTAAAATTGATGCATTTGGGTGTCAAGCTGATAAAGGCTAGAGTTATGGTGGGCCTCAACTTGACAACATCTAGACTCATGGGGGATCCCAGTTGTCTGGGCATGCCTATGGAGGATTATCTTGATTAGGTTGATTGAATATGAAGACCTTCCCACTGTGGGTTGACACCATTACCTAACTGGGATCCTGGATGGTATAAAAGGGAGAAAGTGAGCTGAGCAACAGTATAACATTCATCACTTTCTGTGGAGGTGATGTAACCAGCTGTTGCAAACTCCTATCTTGTCTTCCCTGTCGTGATAAGCTGTACCCTTGAACTGCGAGATGAAGGAAACTTTCTCCCTTAAACTGATTTCATCAGGGTATTTTATCACAGCAACAGCAAAAGAAACTAAGATACAGAGAGTCAATGCAATACTTTGTAATAACTCATATCTTAAAGACAGAAAAATTACTATTGTGGAGGTTTATTTTCAGTTCCTGGTTTGTCTAACCATTTCAGGACGTTTTGATTTTATCTTTACAGTTATATAAATATACATGCTTATATATGCATATGCACTATTCACTTTCTTTTATACGTGATATAATAGTTAATGATAAAATAGATATCCGTGTACGTATATATATTTAGAGATAAACAATACTACACTTATCCCAAACACATAAAAATGACCTTGCAAAGCAGTTCTAAAATATCGATAAATCAGGCCCTATATGATATAAAGCTTGGCATTTTTTATTTGAAAGCATACATTAAATGGATAAATAATCTCAAATTTTTCCAGTGATTAACCTCTTAACAATACTGCTACAATTAAAACCACATTTGCACAACAGTTTCAGGAACAGAGAGAATTTTTTATTTTGTCTCACCCTTAGTTGGGATCCAACTTGCCTAATAAGCTAATTTAGAGTTTTCTTCTTCATGAATATAGACTCTTATTTCCATTTGGATCCTGGTTGTTGATAGTAAATGAAATTGATAAGAATCTAGCATCTTTTACCATTTGGTTTTCAAACATTTTGTTGGAAGTAAACATTTTCTTCTGATATACATGGAAATAAGTGAAGGTGAAAAGCATTCATGAGTTTAATATACTTGTAAGATTATTTTTTTGTTGATCATCTTAATTGTGTTTACAACACAGCCCTTAAATTAAATGAGTCATTCAACATTTTCAAAATGCTTATGTACTCTGACAGGGTTATCAGTTTCCTGTATTTTCTAGTGATAAAACAGGAAATTGCAGAATATATATAATGGGAAGTTTAAAACTGTGCTATCCAACTTCATTACAATTTTCTCCTCATCATCCTCAAAGGCAATGATTTTATAGCCAGTTGTTTTGCTGAATGCTATTTTTCCTTTGGAAGCAAAACATACCAATTTTATTCTGAACACTACATTTCGTATATGGTGTAAACAGGCAGAATCATCACACTGCTTACTATTTTGCTTGAAAATTATATAATGGCTGGTAAAAATGACATTTAAGGGAAAGCCAAATTTGCACCCTGACCACTTCCAGGAGCGTTTACCATCTTTGATGACCCTTTTACCACACCTCATGCTATATCCTTCAATTTCTCTTTCATTGATGACTCGAGGCCCAATTTCCCTGTGTTGTAGTGACTTAAGCAAAGTCAGCCACTGTTGTTTGTAAACTGGCGATAACCATTCTGAAGGTATTAGACGATCTTGTTCAAGAACTGTGGTGGAGGCCAGGTCACAGATGATATGCTGAAACCTCAATTTTTTAAACACTGGCTGAAATGTTATTCCTTCTTCTCTTTCAAGAAAAGTGATGTTGTTGATACATTCCATGTGCTTGGAAAACCAGCTGTTTGCATTTACTAAAAGCTGTTTCATTGAACCATTCCAATGTGGATTAAGACGAAGGAACATCCACCCTTTAAGTGTGGTATATATATCGACTTCCTTTTGCATCACTAGTAAATTAGAAGACGATATGAGTAGATGCATGAGCTCTGTATCAATTTCTTTGTAAAGTTCAACACTTGGGTGTGTCATCAAATTTTGAAGAAGCCATTGGAAACATTCTGCCTTTGCAGCATCTAATCCATATGATTCTGCAGCAGCATAATATACACACACAGTTTTCACGTTAATGGATTCCTTCATGGTCTCTTTACATTGCTGAATTAAGTTCTCCACCTGAAGCAGGCATGCTGTTGCCAAAACACCGGGAACTTGAAATGGCTTTATCAGCAAGTCCTCATCCCTGTATAGTGAACCAAGTACAAAATTCAAGGACCTGACATCTATATTCTCGTCATCAATCTCCAGTTCTATAATATCTTTGTGTGATTCTTTCCAAGAACCTTTGAGCATATTGGCAAAGTAGCCCGACTGAAATAAAAATACTTTGTGTAAGTACCATGTTTTCCCCAGAGCACGAACTTCAATGTCACTGTCTTTCCCATTCAAAAATAGAGTTTGGTAGGCATATTTAGACCGAATCTTAACTTTTTTCGCGTGGATTGTGCTGAGACGTTGCTCTCGGTTTTCTTCCTCGTCCTCAGAGCTGTAGCTGTTAGACTTTCGCTTGCGCTTGTGGGTGTGAGACGTGTGACTGGGGCCCGCCACAGCTTCTGACCGATGTAGATTTACTCCAACAGGATCACTGCATCTCTCAACCCTGCTGATTAAAAGCCCCATAGATGAAACCTCTTAGAGCCTCTAAAAGAGACTCTTACAGAGGCTTCCCTGCCATGGCATCGGTGCAGTCTGCCAGTGTTTCCTAGGACCCAGATTCACCAGGTCACTCTGGCACAGTCTCAAACGTCACAGAGGAGGCAGGCAGTTCCTCATTGCATCTGCTCCTCCTGAGCAGGGAGGGGCCCCGCCCCCTGACAACAGGCCCTTTTAAAACTATGGAAATAGATCTAGCCTCTGAATTTTCCTTTTCCTTCTCCTTCCATCCTTCTTCCTTCCTTTCTTTCTCTCTCTTCCTTTCTTCTCCTCCTTTCTTCTCTCTTCTCCTCTCTCTCCACTTTGTCTAAAGGGGTCTCACTGCATTGCTCAGACTGATCTCAAAGTCAAGAATCTAGTGCTTCAGCCTCTAGGCTAAATATTCCGTTTCTATAAAGATAATGACTGAGTCAAAACTGTTTTGATCAGTGTTGGACTATGTATATTTACATTCCTACCCCTGGGGTATGGCAGAACACTCTTCTCTACTGTCAGAAATATTGAATATAATCATTTACCAACAACTTTTAGTAATTTAAGTGAACAGTGTACTGATTATTTTATTATTCACTTTTTATTACTGTAAAAGACAAGTATTCATTTCACATTGGTAGTTGTATGCATCTATCAAAACTTTCTGCATGTTCTTAGCCTGTTTATATATAGATTTAAATATATTTTGATTACTAAAGTTTCCTTATAAATAAAGCTATTCGGTTAATTATTATATATATGCAGGGATCTTTTGTTGTTGTTTTACTGATTTCCAAGTATTTATTAAGTTTCTGTGTAAGTACTTACTGCAATTGCATTTCAGTTCTTCAGATATTAAGTCAAAATTTTAATTTTTTTTTTTAGGTATCTGAGTGGAAATCTCCCTTATCTGAAATCAGATTAAATAACCTTCAATATTTCCTTGCTGAACTTATATTTAACTTTAAAATATCTAAATAATAATTCCATGCATTTGTAAAACCTCATTTTAAAATGACAGAACATTTTACAAAATAGTATACTCATTATGAGCCCATTTTTTACAAACAGAAAAATGTACATGCACATGTAAAGTACTGAAAGAAAAAAAAAGAACAAATTTTATCATAGGTTATAGCATTGGCATTATGAGCAGTGTCAAGACAAAACCCATACAGGATAGCGGGAGTAATGTTTTTCATCCTCCTTACCTGCAGTTTGTGTGAATTTAGCTTCATCACCTAATGCAAGGTCCTTCATGCCTACACAAAGCAGAACAATCTAACTTCCAAAAGTATAAGAGTAATATATATGGGCAACAACAATAAAATGTCTAAGACTATTTTTACAAAATGGTTTTTGTCTATTTGATTCACTGTCCCATCCTCACAAACTAAAGATCAGATAGTCTATTCGTGGAATCAGTAAATGCATATTTCACTCCCATTATCGGTTTTGTTACCTTTTATTATTTTTTTATTTTGGTATTGTTTACAATAACAATTCATAATTGTTTTACCTATAAATTAATGTGCAATTTTTGTATAATGTGGAATGATTAAATCAAGTCAATTAACATCCAATATCTTACATTTTTTGTAATAGTATATTTTAAATATAATGTCAGTTATCTGGAAATATACATTCTTTTGACATTTCCTTGCACTAACTGAAGATAGTTTCATGCCCTGTTCATCAAAAGCAACACCTTTGATTTACAAAAAAACCCATGACTGTGGACAAAGATATAAAAGACAGGTGTAAAATAAATCCTCTTCTTCAGTGCAGAACTCATTGTTCAGTATGTGTTCTCATACATATAAGAAAGAATATGATATTATATGATAGTTCAAAGTGATAACGTCATTGATAACGAAGATGGTTTTAACAATAAAGAGTTGAGGGGCTGGAGAGATGGCTCCATGGTTAAGAACACTGGTTGTTCTTGCAGAAGACCCGGGTTCAAATACCCGCACCTACATGGCAGCTAACAACTGTCTGTAACTCCAGTTCCAGGGGATCTGAAAGCCTCTTCTGTCCTCTGCAGGCATTGCATGACATGGGTGCACTTACCTACATGCAGGCAATACACGCATACACATAACATAAAAATAATAAAATATTTAAAAGAATTAAGAGTTGAATTTTTTTAAAGTTTTATTGGAAAATTAGAAAATGTGGGGCTGGAGAGATGGCTCAGTGTTTAAGAGCAATGGCTGCTGCTCTTGCAGAGAACTGGGGTTCAACTCCCAGTACCCACATGGTGGCTTACAACTATCCATTACTCCAGTTCCAGGAGATCCGACACCCTCTTCTGGTCTCCATAGGTATTGCATGACACAGATGCAGTTACACACATACAGGCAAAATACTCATATACATAAAATAAAAATAAATCAATCAAAAGAAAAAAGAGAAAATTTATAACAATAAAACGTAATTACTAAGAACAAAATAGTATTATCTCATTCAGCATATCCAGCAAATCAGTCTAGTTCTGTCCAGTTCCCACTTGTCTATGAAATCATAAAGGGAGCCCAACTCTCCGAATCACTGCCTGAAAGAGATAGCACTTACTAGGACTCTTCTGGAATATGGAAATGAGTCCTGATTCTTCAGTACACCGAAAGTTAAGTACACACATTCATAATGGAAAAAAAAAACCAAATCTATGCTCCTTCTCTTTTCAAATTATCATTTCTTGTTCTTGATTCTAAATCTTATAGTATACCCATACACTCATTTGTTTATGTAGGTATATGTATACATTATGATCTAGGAAGTGCATATGAAGGAAAGCATGAAGTTCTTTGCTTTCTGAGATTGAGTGACTTCACTTAGTATTATAATTAATCATACTCAATGTTATATAACAAAGAGTTGATAATTTTAAAGCATAAAATATTATCATTTTAGTCTGTATCCATCTTCATAACTGTTTTTTAAGACTTTTTATCTAGAATACATTACTCCTCTGAGGTTTGCATGTCACTTGCCTCTCTAAACTTGTTAATTCTGTGTCTATATGATAGTCTTCAGAGATAATAAAAATTTGTTTAATTCATTCCTTTTTTTGCTCTTTCTCATCTCTGATTCCCATACTTCTGATTTTGGTTGCACTTATGCAGATTGCCTTAAATTCAGGCCTGCCTTTTTTATTTCTAATGGTAGTTTATAAGCATAATCTGTGAGAAAAGTGAAGATTCTATCAAATTAAATGTTATTACAGGTTGTGATTCCCACAGTGTCAGCATTAATCTTGGCTTGCTGCAGCACTGAATATCAGTGCCTTTTATCCCACTATACTGCCTTTTATCCCACTATAATGATTATTGTAGCGGGTCTTCCTTCTCTGACCCATTCCCATAACTGCTTAAGCTGTGGAAGTATATATATTCTCTGATAAACTGCAATATAGAGAAAAGAGCAATCTGTAAAGACTATGGTAGTGACTAAAGCCTACTGAAAAAGAGGTAGAACTTGAGTAAGGGCTGAAGAAGGGGTCTCATTTTGTAGAAATTGGAGAGAAGAAGAGAAAGAAATAACTTGATGAGAGTAGAGAACGGGAGCACACCCAGGGTGCAAAAAGTGTTCCGTAATAGCTGCCTAGAACTGTCAGCAATTTTGTGATCACAAATGATGAAACATATAGTTACGAATGTGTTCCTATGCATAATAATACATAATAATTTAAAATGTATAATTTTAAGATGTATGTAATTATTCATGCATATAATTACATATAATTCAAATAAGGAAGATTATAGTCAAGATACCTTAGTTCACAAAGACTGATCTTTCTGAAAATAACATTTGAAGGATACAGTCATCTACCATATATGCCAAACTCAAGCCTCTCTAGAATTTCATGAGCCGTGCTATGATTTTTTTTCTTAAAAACATCTTAGCATATTTTAGATGATGATCATTTCTCACTTTTATGTCCATCTATCTACTGTGTTGGGTTTTCCTTTAAATAATCTTTGACTTTCTCAACACACATAAAAGCACCTGCATCCACATGTGGTGTTTACGTCCCCTGCCTTAATGGCAGAAATATCACTCTTCATGTTTAAGGATAATTTTTCACCCTTCCTATCATCCATCTCAGGGCTCTTATGCTATGAATCATAAATTTTCTCTCTTTACCTTTCCCCAGATTCAAAGACCCCAACAAGTTAGCCCTAAAAACATCTTAGCCCTAAAAGCATTTTCTAGTACCACTTTAAAATACTAAGTGTAAATAATTGGAAATTTAAAGCACCTTCCTTCTTTCCTATATTATAATCTGGTCACCATCATAAGTCCTCACTTGTATAAAAAAACTTAGAACTTTCTTTGTTTGTCATTATTCCTTCACCTATTCATCTCAGAGCATGATTTTAGCACAGATCTTTTTGTGAAATTTGTGCTTTATGATCACCATGATGCCCAGGGCACTAAATCTAGTAGGATTGATTTCCTTCTAGTCACTTAATTTATCACGGTGTCCTACTCATGCTAACATTTGTGAAGTTTAAAATTCAGAAGCACATAAGTGCATTCACGGTGTGCATTGATCACCATGTTTTCATTTCCAACACCTTTTTCTTTATCCCAAACTGATATCTGTGTCCATTACTCAGTAATTTCCTGTTTCCTCTTCCTCAGAGTCCATTAAAAATCCTAGTCTACTTTATGTCTCTATGACGTTGCATATTCAAATATGTCATAGGAGTGGATCCATATAATATGGTTTACCAGTGATTTTAGAGTAAAAGTCTGGGCTGACAGCCCCGAGACCCCTCAAATTAAGAGACAATAGTGAAAAGTGAAGAAAGATTTATTGATTGTGGTCACAGTAAAAAGAGGAACAAAGAAAGAAGCACAGTAACCCTCAAGTCCATCTTCATGGTAGTTACATGAAGTTTAGACTTAGAGAGCTAGAGCTATGCATAATTAAGCAGGTGAAGATGGTCCCAGTCCACTGTTGACATATCACTATCTCCTTCTGGTTTCTTCTGGAGAGTGGTCTGATATGTTGTCAAACTGTGCAGTCTCATCCTGAGTAGCCAGACGCTTCTCTGGCTGCCACCAGGGTTTCAGTCTTCCCTTTCCCTGAGTATGGGATTCCTGGGAAAAACATTAATTATGTGTGGCTCATTGTTTGAATAGTCTGATAGCCAAAATCTGATAGCACAAGTGCCTCTCTTTAAAGTATCCTCTTACCTGTGGGGGTCATTACAATCTGTGTCCTTTTCTGTCTAGCTTACATTTCTAGCATAACATCAAGGTTCACTCATGTTGACAACATATTATAGGGTTTCACTCCCTAAGGCTGCATCATATTACATATATATTATATTTTCTTTGCCAATACATCTGTGCTGGATAGCTTTAGTGTCAACTTGACACACCTGGGTTGAGGGAGCCTCAATCGGGGAATTGCCTCTATTGGACTGGCCTGTGTCCATGTCTGAAGGGCATCTTCTTGATGAGTGATGTGGGAGGGCCCAGCCCACTGTGGGTGGTGCCACCCCTGGGCAGGTGGGCCTGTGTTGCATAAGAAAGCAGGCTGAGCAGGGGCCAAGGGAGCAAGCCTGTAAGCAGCATTCCTCCATGGCCTGTGCTCCAGCTCCTGCCTCCAAGTTCCTGCCCTGAGTTCCTACCTTGGGCTCCCTGATGAACTGCGTGTGACCTGGGAGATGTAAGACAAATGAACCCTTTCCTCCCCAAGTTGGTACTGGTCAGAGTGCTTTGTCACAGCAATGAAGAACAAACTAAGACATCATCCATTCATGGCCATGTATGTTGTTTCTCCATCTTGACTGCTGTGAATATTGATACAAAAATAAGTCCTTTACAGGACAAATTCTTCACATTAGTATTTATGTGAGGGATTCCAAATAGAAATTTCATAGAATCAGAGAGTAGTGCAAGAGTTTAGGAGGAGGATAAGGATTGCTTGCCAAAGGCAGAGCGTTTCAACTGCAGAAGATTAATAAGTCCTAGAGATTCTCTTTACAACACTGTGGCTAGCTGACAGCTTTGTGTTGTACAGCTGAAATCTATCAAGAGGGTGGATTCAAGTGCCCCTGCACAGTATTGTAAATGACATTTCCTTAGGGAAATACTTCCTGTCCCTCCAGGTTTCATCCTATTGTAAGCCCTATGTCATCCTTTTCCTCAGGCCATAGTTCACAATGAATTAATCATGTACAATGTTTAGATTGGTGTTAGGTAAACAAGCAGCTGGTAAATCTTGTTACAAATTTACATTTGTAATGTAAATGTCTCAGTTTCAGCCATTTCTTTCACTTTTACAATTAAATCTGTTCTAGATACTGGAAATAGAGCAACGAACCAGAAACACCAATACAAATGATACTTGCCATTAATGCCATTTATCGCCACATAGATACAAGACAGCATGAAGCTAACGACAGGCAGACAGACAGACACTTTCTGAAGCATCCAGAGCTCATCCTGGAGGTGGTAGCTACCATTTCACACAAGATCCCATCCCCATCCTCTCCAACAGAAAGATGGCAGAGAAGAAAGGGGGGGAAGAGAGAGAGGGGAGAGAGTAGAAGAAAGAAGGGAGATTAAAGAGGCAGAGAAAAGAAAGGCAGGAAGAGAAGGAGGATGAAGAGGAGGAGGAAGGGTTAAAGGCAGGGGCAGGGGCAGGGGCAGTGGTAAGGACAGGGGCATTTGCACATAGCTGTCTGCCCAAGTAGGAGGAGGAAGAAAAGGAGCATTTTTTTAACATGCAGTTCTGAATAAAAACAATAAAAGTCATAGGCTTATTCTGTAGTTCCTGTCTTTTCTTAAGAGGTACAGTGATTTATTTCTGTC